GGTCTGCTGTGAATCTCAGGGGTACTCCTTTGTATGTGATTTCCTTTTTTGCCCTTGCTGCTTGCAGTATTGTGTCTCTATTGGCAGCATCGATCATTCTGACTATAATATGTCTTGGGGTGTTTCTGTTGGGGTCTCTTTTAGCTGGCACCCTTCGGGCTTCTTGAATCTGGATGGCTGTATCATGGAGCGCTGGGAATTTTTCGGCAATAATTTGTTTCAGCAGGTTTTTTTCATTGGGATTGTTTCCTTTAGCTTCTGGTAGTCCAGTGATTCTAATGTTGTTTCTTCTGGAATCATCTCGTAGGACTCTGATTCACTCTTGAGCTATTTTGAGGTCCCTTGCCATCGTTTGCTGTTGTCTGTTGGCTTGGTGCAGCTGATCTTCCAAGTCACTGATTCTTTCCTCAGCTGTGGTCGTTCTGTCCTTGAGGGCAGTGAGTGAGGTTTTGACTTCGTCTATGGAATCTGTGATGCATGCCATTTCTGTGCGAAGCTTTCCAATTTCGGCTCTCATTTCTTGCTGTATTTTGTCAATTGTGTGATCGATTGTTTCTTTCATGTCCTCTTTCAGTTTAGCGGATATGTGTGTGACTGTTTCATCGAGTTGATTGAACATCTTGATGACTTCATATCTGAATTCCTTCTCAGAGAGGTCCCTAAGGTGGCTAGCTCCTACTGAGGCTTCTTGAGAGATTTCCTCATGGTCTCCCTGTGGTGGGGATTTGCGTTGTTTCCTCATGTTGTTGTGTATGTGGAGGGGTAATATTTGTTGGTTGAAAATTAAGCCACGCCCACTTTTTAAAGCCACGCCCACCTCTGAAGTGGCCACGCCCCCGCAGATACCGCCTTTTTGTCCAGGAAGTAAAGACTGGGTGGGGGACAAGGAAGCAGTTCTGATGGGCGGCGGAACCAAAGGGACAGGCAGAGAGGGATGCAGATTCCCTTTTCCTCCGAGTGGGGGGGGGGGGCGCCTGCAGACACTTGCGCTGTAGGGTTCCAGTCCCAGGTCAGCGGGGAGTCGCAAAGACCAACCTGGGGGATGGGGGACAAGGAAGCAGCTCTGATGGGCGACGGTGCTACCATTCTTTAACTCTGCCTCCAACTTCTGGAGAGTCAGGTTTGCATTCAGCTCTCATTTTGAAATGAAGTTCATTAAAGAAAAATTTAAAATGATAGTAAACTTAGGAAAATCTTAGACAAAGATTCAGGTAAAAGATAAAGCTTTTTTATATAGAATCTCTTGAACAAGTTTGGAGCTGAGATAGTTTTCTGAGATCATACACCACAGTACTGAGTTAGTGATTTTCATTTTCTACAATTTCATTTTACAAAAAAAACTAATAAATAACATAAAAAAACTTATTTTTTATCAGAAAAAGAATTATTTCTAGTCAGTTAAATAAAGCTGCTGCAATCTGAGTGTATTATAGACATATGTCTTTGAAAGTATTACCATATGGTTTGAATGTGAAGACTAAAGAAAGTGAAGCACAAGTGAGTTGTACTCTAAAAAGAACATGAGAAAATCATCTTCTTAGTTAACGGCACTCAAAGAAGAAAAATAAGAAGATGGAGGGGAACTAGAGAAAGATAGGGAAGGAAGAATGAAAAAGAATGGAGAAAAGATGGAATGGGGAAGAGAGGAAGGATCTGTACTCACCATCACAGCAGGAACTTCTGGCAACAAGATTATCTTTTCTACATTCCATTGTCAAGATTGTCTCTCCTGTTTTAATAATTGAGTTGTAATTGACATATAACAGTAGTTTCAGGTCTTCAGTGTGATTTAGTATTTTCATGTATTGTGAAACAATCCTTACAGCAATCCTAATTAACATCCCAACTTTATCTTATGAAGAGAAAAGTTTTCTCTCTTAGCAACATTCATATATGAAATGCAGTATTATTAACTGTGTTCTGCATGCTATATGTTGAATCTTCATAACTTATTTGTTTTAATTTTTTACTTATTTGTTTTATAACTGGATGTCTATACTTTCTGATCTCCTTTACACATCCAGTTATTGATTATTATTGATTGATTATTATTATTGATTACTATTATTGAACTACCATGTATAGCCATCTTTTAACTTTTTTTAAATCATAGTCTACAAGTTACTATATAGACTCCTCTAGGTTCTTTCTTATCTCCTGTTGCCAATTAATTTCTCTCTCTTTTTTTCTCTCACTGGAACAATTTTTTTTGGTCTTAGTTGCAGTTTATTCCAATCCTCTCTTCATTCACTCATGTCTCTCCCCCTCACTGGAACAATTTTTGTTCCAAAATAAAATGGAAAAATTAAATGTATTTCTTTTTTCCATGGATGAATAATGTGGTCAAGACTGGAACAATATGGCTAAAATGACATTGCATGCCATTATTTATTATTTTTATCTCTTACTACCTCTGTTTCTCCACTGAGATTATTAAGTCCTTGATGGTAAAAACCACATACTTCATTTTCATTTCTCACTTAATCACTTAATCACTTAACTTCCCGTTAGTCGTCGATTTGCTCGAGCGGGCGCCAGTAACATCTCCATTTGTCCCTGTCGCGTGCTAGTGTAGCCCAGTGGCATCTGTTCGCTCTGGGATCATGAAGAGCCTCAAACCGATCGTTCGTAATCTTCACGAAGAAGTCTGACCATCTGGTAGGTGGGCGGCCACATGGTCTTTTAACATCCCGTGGAATCCAGTCAGTAACAGCTCTAGTCCAGCGGTCGTCTTTAAATCTCATTACGTGACCAGCCCATCTGATTTTTGACACCTTGGCAAGCGAGACAGCGTCCCTGATTCTTGATCATCGATGGATGTCAGAACTCCGGATTCTTTCTCTCATTTGAGTGAAACGTGATATTCCAAGCATAGCTCTTTCTATTCTTCTTTGGGAGACCTGAATAGCGTTCTCATCATGTTTGCATAGGGCCCAGGTCTCTGAGGCATATGTTAATGCAGGAAGAACAGTGGAATCAAAGAGATGTGCCCGGAGCCGGAGGTTCTTCGTCCTCTTAGCTATTTCTTCGACGTTCTTGAAGGCGTTCCAAGCCGCTCTCTTCCTCCTGCGCAGCTCTGGTGCCAGGTCATTTGTCATGTTGACTTCTCGGCCTAGGTACACATAGCTGTTGCATTCGGAGATGGTCGTTCCTTTGAGAGCGAATGGGGCATCAGGAACAAGGCTGTTTCTCATAAACATTGTCTTCGTAAGATTCAGCTGTAATCCTACCTTTCCACACTCACGGTCAAAGTCAGCCAGCATTTGTGCCGCTTGGCTGAAGGCTTTTCATTTCTCATTCTCCAGTATATGTAGAGAAGTGATAGAAGAAACAATTAAAGGAGTGTATATGTGAATGAATGAGTGAAAGCAGAAATGGCAACAATCATATTGCCACCTTTCTTTCTTCCAGCAACTACTCCTTGTGTGACTACTCAGTACAATACAAAAGTTGAAGTATTTTTTTAATATGCAAATTCTTGGACATGTATATAATTGCCCACAGTTGATCCTTGAATAATATGGGTATGTGCAGTGGGAGTACACTTACATGTGGATTTTTCTGTAAGTAGACAATATACATTTATGGTATTAATAAGTATAGTATGCTACCGTAAGTATATCTTCTCTTATAGTTAGTAACATTTTATCACTGTCACTGTTACTGTCCTCCCATTGTTCATGGATTTGCTGGAGTGGGCCCAGTAACATTGTGAGACTTGTTACTGTGTTTGGCATATCAAATACTTTACAGGTAGCTTGCCAGGCTTTGCTGTGTAGGTGGGACATTCTCGGTAGCTTGCTGGGCTCTCCAAGAGGGGCGGAGGAATTGAAGGTGGAGGAATTGAACTCGGGTTACCCGGGTTGGCATGTTCAAGGCAAACACCCTACCTGATGTGCTATAGCTCCAGTCCACAATAACAGTTTATAGCTTAGTTTATTCTATAATGCATGTAATATACAAAATGTATATTAATTGACTATTTGTACAACCAGTAAATGCTTAATAACAGCAAGTTATTAGCAATTTAGTTTGGTGAGGGTCCAAGTTATGAGAAGATTTTCAACTGAACTGAAGATAGTGCCCCACCCCCTGCTCTATTGAAAACTCAACACAGTGTTTACCATAGGGAGGACATTCCAAGTGGTTCTTGGGAGGATTTGAGGGTAATTCTTGGCAAGTGTCAACTAGATTGGCAGTTCAGTGCCAGAGTCTAAGGATGGGGTGCTGCACAGGCATCAGCATATGGTGCCAGGGGTGAAAGCTGAATAGAGTCGCTCTCCTCTGCATATGAATTCCCAAAGAAATGCCCTGGGATTTCTCTTGTTCCCTATAAAACTCTACAAATTATCAAGTACTTTAAGAATTGGAATGCCCCATATACAGCTCTGTTGGGTTTGGTTTTTAGATAAAGGGGACAAAATAGGGCCTCAGACTATTGTTTTTCATTCAAAGATAAGCTAATCTTCCAAAGATAGTTACTGAAGTTAATAATAATTCCTCCTAGGAACATAAATGGTATGAGAATTGGATTCAGGTGAAAAGAGAGCATGCAACACGGTTATGTCAGGGAGAAGCTATTTTTATGGCTTCATTACAAACTTAAATGGAATATCTATATTTCTTCTGGGTTTAATGAAGTCACAAACAACCTGTTCTTGGTTGAGTGAGATTGGAGGGTTTTTTTTTTTTGCTTTTAACTTGATGTATTTTAATTTGTGTTTAACTAGCTCTCCCACATCAGGTACTCAGACTGGCATTTTAGGGACAATTAGCTAAGTGTTCTTCTGTGTAAGCCACAGGGGAGGAAAAAAAGATAAGGATAATCAATAAGACCAAGCCAGTTTAGGAAGAGAACATTCACTTTCCATCAAGTGCACTGGCAACTCATCAAGCTGCCTGTTTCCAGCGGAAGCAGCTCTGCTCTCATTTCTGGGCTTCATTATTGTAGAAGTGATTCTGTTGTGGTTGCTGAATGACTTTGTTTTTGTGCTTTTTAGTTTTCAGGACTATACCTCCTGTCCTTCTTCACCATTCTCATCGGGCTGGTGCTCTACTCCTCCACGTCCACATACATAGCCCAGGATCCTCGGGTATACAAGCAGTTCCGCAACTCTTCAGGACCTGTTGTGGACTTACCAACCACAGCCCAGGTGGAGCCTTCGGTTACCTATACCAGCCTGGGCCAGGAGACAGAAGAGGAGCCCCACGTGCGTGTGGCCTAAATAAGGCCCTCCCTGCCCACTGAGGGCATCTCAGTGGCCATGTGCTTGCCCATCGTCTCTGTATTGTACATAGAGAAAGGTATTTCTTAGGTGCAGTTTACACAGGTGGACTGCAAGGTAGCAAATCTGAAAACCTGGAGAATGCACGAGCTAAACGTCCCAGGAGGCAGAGTCTCAGATCCACCTGACTTGGAGAAAAATCTAGTTAGCGTGTATCCTGACCACATCCCCAACCCCACGTCAATTACTGTGAAATTTTTTAATCAAAAGCAAGTATTATTATTATTTGTATTATTATTGTTACTCTTATTACACCTTCAGGAGGATGTTTTGTACTCCTGTTGGGAACTATTGCCAGATCTCCATGAAGTTGACATAAATCCCACTTTTCTATGGCAAGTCCCTTTGGAAGAATCATCCTTTCTTTGTTTGTCTCACAGTCCGTGAGTGCTGCATGCCACGGAACTCTACCCCTGAGAAGTTTCCTTGTCCCCGGGACCGGGTAGCTAATGGTTTCTTCTCTGTTACCTGTTGGATTACCTGCTCAATGAATATTCTGTGCTAACCCTTGTCGGGAAGGGCAACTGATCATACAATTTTCTATTCTAGGAATAGATATGAAAAAAACATTTTAGCCTTTTTATATCTAAATCTCTGATTACTCCAGGCCGTTGCCTTTCTGTTATGCCACGTGATTATGCTAATCAAGTCCCTGTTATAGCAGATTAAGGAAGTCTTATGAGAGATCCTGGAAATAACATCATACATGTTCAGGATAATAAATATTTTTAAAAAATCTTTATGTGGGGCCAGAATAATAGTATAACTGGAAGGACACTTACCTTGCACATGGCCAACCCAGGTTTGATCCACAGCACCCCATATGCTCCTTGAGCCTTCCAGGAGTGATCCCTGAACAACATCAGTGTGACTCACAAACAAAAACAAAAATCTTTCTGCTCCTCCCTAGACCTGTATTCAAGAAAAGGTCAGATTTTCCATTCTTTCTTAGATTTCTTTGGTGATAACATAATAATTAATCAAGGCAAAGAAAAAAGCCATGGCATTCTGTCCTCTCAGTTGTGTGAATTGTTTGGCACACAGCAGTATGGACTTTTTTTGTTGTTGTTGTTGTGGTATATCTTTGGTGGAACATAGTCTCATCACAAGTCAAGTGCCTGGTGTTGAGTACCAGCAAGAGACTAACTGACTGACCACAGTGTGGTGGTAAAGATGTCACCAATGGAAAAATCTGGCATGCAAGTCATAGTTGGCATCAGTTCAATTGCAGAATATATCAGCTTGACATTCTGATGGAAACAGAGAATGTAACAGGATTCCTGATAAGATTTTGGATCATTTTTCCTGATAAGGTTTTGGGTAATTTATCTAACTTCTTTTACCTTCTTTGGATCAGTAATCTAACTTCTTTGCTCTTAAAAGTTCTACTTTCAAATATAGTAAATCAAGAAACACTGCTGATCTCTATCATTTAGAATAGATCCTACATGTCATATTAATACTGTTCAAGTCTGGCTTAAATACCATTCAGAAAGATCCTGTGTGGAGTTAGAATTTATATTAATAAATTAATATTTTTTATGCTTTTGGCAATTCAAGTCAGTTCATCCAAAGCAAGCAGTAAGCAGGGCAAAACTCTAGACGGTATCTCTGTAAAGTTGAAGGATGGAATACAGCTCAGCCAGGATTCCCATAGAGCCTGAATAAAGCCTAAACACAGCAATCAAGAGTGTCCCAGGCTATCAGTCAACATCCATGTGGCCTCTCTGCCTGCCTATTACCCAGGCGTTTAGACGCATCAGTGGAGAAGGGGACAATAAATTTCTTCTTGGGCAAGGGGGTGGGGGTGAGGGAGTGGTAATAATGTCAAAGCTATATTGAGTCATTGACAACTTTGCCAATATGTGCTCTCTGCTACCTTTTAAACCAATTAAATACCTTTCTCTGAATATTTAGTCCATTCACATCTGAAGACCTTTAAAGACTGTGGTTTTATTTTGTGTTTACACTCCTTTGGTTTGCATAATTTACTTGATTTGTTGCATTTTTTAGTATTTATTTTTAAGCCAAATGTTTTATCCTCTTTTAATTCATTTTTATGATACTAATTTGTAGGCACTTAGTAAAGTCTTATGAGAGATAAGTGAATGAAAGTATTTCTAAGTCAATTCAGTGAACTGGGAATTTTTTTTAATTTAAATTTCAAATGGTTTGCAGTCAAAATATGGCTAAAAGCTGCAACCTGAACTTTTTTTTTGATATTTTAATGAACTCCATTGTGTGGAAATCAAGTATAAATTCTAAAATGACTTCATTATACCCCTATCATTCTGTGTCCTGCACATAAGACTTTCATATCACTGGGGTACCTCCTTTTGTCAGTTTATCTCCATCTAGAAAGGCTGATAATACATTGAATTATCTGAGATCAGGGGTTTCCAATTGGCCTTTTGGAGGGAAAAAAATAGCAGGAACAAACCTTTTTTTTCTGTGTAATAACTTTGATCCTAGGGAGTGGGGTGGGAAGTGGGAGTAGGACAATATTAACTCTAGCTGTTTTAGTTTCTGAAATTTCATAACCTCTGTAGACACCAGCAAAATTTGCAGCGTTTCAGCCCACAACTGCTCTCCCCTCCACAGATGAGACACTTGCCATTTGCATAGCATTTGCTTGGGTAAGCAAACCACAGCTTTCCTAAACCCACTAGAGACCACTGGGGGTTCTCTTTTCTTCCATGAAAACTTGCACTGGGGACAGAGCTTGCCTTAGTCCCACCAACCCATAGCTCCAAAATCGGGAATATACCACCAGGTGGAGGAGGCAAGGAAAAAATTGCACCACTGTGTCCCATAAAGATGTTTCAATGTTTAGTTTAGATATTGCTAACTTGTGCTATTAACCTTTTGACAAGTGTGTAGTATTGTTTTGAGTTTGTTTTTTGATTTATAACCACTTAGTAGTCCTCAGTTAGCTACCAGTACAGATTTTACCCCATGGGTAGGATGCTATTGTCAGGCCACATAACAAAGCACACTAATCCAGACACTACAAATGGAACATATGAACCAAAAAGGAAATTTACGTCGATAAGTGGAACAAACTCTCTGTTTTTTGATATTTGCATGCTCCCCAATGGACTGGCTGTGGCAATGTAATGCCTGTATAATGTTTTCAAATAAAAATAAATGCTTTATGAAAGCACTGAGTTCTTGGTTTTCTTGAGTGTTTGTCTGCACTATGACAACCATGGAAGCAGCTCCCCTGGGATGCTAGAAATAGCAATGAAAGGAAATAGCAGGTACATGTCAAAAAATAAACCAGAAAGAAAATATTTCCAAATTAGGAAGGTCACAGTTTGTCTCAGATCAATAGCTTCAAGAAGTCAGAGTGAATACATTTATAATTTGCAAAATTAATTTGTATGTGTACTTTACAGAGCTCAAAGCTATTACCTCCCAGCCCATGTTGAAATTTAAAGCACGTGTAAAACAAAATGAATTTATTCCCCCAAAATAGTTTCTCATAAAGAAGGAAGCTACATTGATGCTGCCCTTGGCATAATGCCCAGTTGAAAAGCTGGACAATTCTTCCTGAGCACAGCATTTATAAAGTAGAGCTATAAAGTAGGGCTGTTTATATTTCTTCAAACTTACATACTATCTTGTCATTGTCACTTCTTCACTAACTGCTATCATTTGCAAACCCTTGGATAATTAGAAGTAATTGTGGGTATGTGTAATTGTTATTTGTGCTCACAATAAAACCTCAAAAATTGAACAAAATTGGGGGCTGGAGCAATAGCACAGTGGGTAGGGCGTTTGCCTTACACGCAGCCAACATGTCTGATCCAGGTTCGATTCCCAGCATACCATATGGTCCCCCGAGCACCGCCAGGAGTAATTCCTGAGTGTATGAGCCAGGAGTAACTCCTGAGCATCGCTGGGTGTGACTCAAAAAGAAAAAAAAATTGAACAAAATCAATATCAGTCCCTGTATAAAAATCACGGATTTAAATTGTTTTCTTTTTTTTTTTTTTTTTTGGCCATTCCAGATGGGAGAGGGGATAGGGCAGTCTCTCCTTTGTAGTGCTGGTACTGGAGATCAAGCAGTGCCAGGGATTGAACCCAGGCCGCCCTCATGTAAAATCTGTGCCCCTTTGAGTCATCATCCTGCTCCCCAAAATACTTTTTTTCTGGTAAACAAGAAACAGCCACATGTTTATGCTTTGAGAAAATTAAACTCATAATATGCTTTGACAGAATAGCATGTACAGAACTAATGATTTACTTGAACTGTGATTTGGAGGTTTTTTTTGAGTGAAACTATTTTTCCTTGAAAGGAGCATAATTTCTTCTCAAGTGTTGTTTAGTTTTATTTAGTAAGCTCTTTAATACAGGTGAGCATTGACCCAGTCTGTGTCTAAATGTTCAGCAATTCTAATTTACGAGTTCCCAAATAGCTTATGCAATAAATGTATATGTTATGTTTGGTTTCTTGTTCCATGAAATGATTTTCTCAGACAGCTGAGTTTCCTAGATACACAAACCTACTTACTGAGCTGGAGGAACAAGTGCAAGAGATAGAGCACTAGCCTTACATCTGTGAGGCTCTGGGTTTGATCCCTGGCACCTGGAGGGTGGAGGAAATTCTTGTAAAGGTAAGATGAGGCCCCACTTGACTGATTTTGGGACTATGAATATGTAAAAGAAATGAAAAGAGAAAATTAAACAAGATCACAAGATCGCTGTAATTTGCTCTGTTTTCTTTATGTTCCATAGGAAACAATGGGAATGTCTGAAATAGCAAGTTCTGACATCAGACACAGGGGGCTCTGAGCTCTGCATGTCCAGCACCCTGCATTTCAAAGGAACTCATGCTTTTTTTTTCTAAAGTGGGTTCTCACTTCTACACCAAATCTACAAAGCATCTGAGTAAGATATTCTACAGCAAAATGTTCCCTGTTTTCTTCTACAACATATGAATTCTTTTGCATAAGAAGATTGTCCTTGGAAAGGAATAAATTACTGGCCCACTTTAAACTGACACCCATGGGAATTTTTTTTCCATAGACCCTTAAAATGCTGGGCCCCTCAGGTTGGCCTTGGGATATAAAGCAAAGAAAAGCTCTTTTTACTTGCAAATAGTGTTTTGGAATGTATAACACTGCCTCTTAATTGTGTGTACTGATTTTTTTTTCTTCCCTTCTTTTCTTTGATTTTTTTTCCTTTTTCTGTTCCCTCTCAGGAAGCAGAAGGGTCACTATGGGCCACCTAGTCAGTGTCTTGCCCTTTATATGGGCAAAAATGCTTGATTCAAAGAAATTATAATACAGCTGGAGAGCCCCACACCTGCCAGATGGCCTTTCATCACGCCTGAAAGGACAAGCCATTATGTGTCATTTTGCAGACAGCCAGATAAGTTGCCACCCAATACTGCTACAGACTGATTAACAAGGAGTACTAATGATCAGAAAGAGATCTCTAGGAATAAACTGAAATTAGGGGCCTCCATCTCACTCCACAAAGGCCTGGTATGGACCAGACCACAATTAACACAAGCATGAGAAATAAGCTTGTTCACCCAGTCTCAGCCTCAGAGATGGAAATAATCCCAGAGTGCTTATAGGATAATTTCAAGGAATATAAAGATAAAAACTGGGGCTGGGGTGATAGCACAGCAGGTAGGGCGTTTGACTTGCATGCAGCTGATCCAGCTTCAATTTCCAGCATCCCATATGGTCCCCTGAGCACCACCAGGAGTAATTCCTGAGTGCATGAGCCAGGAGTAACCCCTGTGCATCGCTGATGTGACCCAAAAAGCCAAAAAAAAGATAAAAACTATATTACACAAAAGGGAGTAATCTTCCTGAATCCACCTCCCCAAAGTGAAGGTATTGGATTAGAACACATTCACTCACCAAATTTTTTAATGTTCTTGTCAATGTGGCATTCTGAGGAGTTGGGATGGGGAATGTGGGAAAACTGGTGAAGGAAAGATGACACTGGTG